GTGGGGAGGGGTGCGGGTGATGGGGCATGGGTTGATGGGGCGAGGCGGGGGAGGTGTATGAGGGGGGCGTGTGAGGGGAGGAGAAGAAGTAAGGCGGGGCGGTGAAGTGGGCGTGCGTAGGGGGGCGCGAAGGGGGGAGAGGAGGGGACGGGGGAGGGAGAAAGGGGGGGAGTAGCTGACGAACGCGGAGGAAGGGCGACGGGTTGTAGGATTGGGGGCGGGGGGGGGGACAAGTCGGGGGTGGCGCGGTGAGACGACTGTGTAGGGGGGCTCAGGTGGGGACCGGAGGAGATGAGCAGTCGACCGGTGTCTGGGGCGCCGGGGAGCAATGGGGTGCGGGGTGTCGGGGCGGGGTCCGGGGGAGCGGGGGCTGAGGGGTGAGAGGAGCGCTGTGGCGGGACTTTGCGTCAGGGCCCCATTACATCCGTGTCCTTCTTTTTTTTTGCTGTCAGGCATAGACACTCTTTGCTCATCGCCGCAAGCACCCTTCACCTCCACACCATTCGTAGCCTGCAATCTTAATACTCCCGCAATGTGAATGGATGTCTTAGTTTTAATTCGCCTGTTTAGAGCATTTCCCAGAGTTTGCTAAGTTAGACTAAAACTGTAGGAAAGTTTTATTGACCTCACTCATTGAAATCCATTGAACCGTTTCCATATTTGTACTTAATAACTTCATTTGGCACCCTTTCCGCGCTCTGTTTATGTATTTCTGTGCTGCATTCTTAGTACCCTAAACTAGGTAGTCAATCTCGCTAATTGCCTCTGTGTTTAGGTTCCATGGTCATTCAAGAGTACGTTCCTTTTATACTTTATACTTCATCGCTGATTCATTGTTGTTGTTTTTTTCATGTCTTCGCTGAGAGCATATTCATTAAGTCTTCTTCCAACCTCAGAAAACGGTGATGCGTATTTTCTTCGTGATCGGTTATCTGTATTTGAGAAATTTGCCCGTGGCTCCTTTGGAATGTTACAGTTGGCTGGGAACTGGCGAAGAAGCACCTATACCTGCAGTAATTGTACAAACTGCATTCAAATTAGGTTTACTGCTCCTTATTTCCTTATACAACGCTGATTCAAGTGGAACATACTTTCTTACAAAATCTCTGTATCGGCTCTATTATGAGCTATAGTTTCTATTGAATTGTGATTGACCTGTATTTCCTTCCTCATGTTTTGTGCGGCGCGTCTAAGATAACTCGAGAACGAGATATTATTAGTACTCTTACTAACCCCTAATAACATATGCAAAGGAATAACGAACACATTTTGGCCCGTGATGAGGCGAATCTTGCAAACGGAGAGTTACTTATGCGGTGGCACGTGTCTACGAAAGCAAAAGCAGAGGTCAGGTGTCAAACATCTATTGATCACTCCGTAACTGCTCGCTTGCAGCAAATTTAAGTAGTTCTACTTCCGCTATGCATATAGCTTGTCAGTGAACACGTGACGTAGCTTGGAGTTGTCTCCCAAACCGGAACATACAGGTAGAGTGCACATCACCGTCACACGTCTGTGGAATGGCGCAGGTCTCCAAAGATGACAGCTATCCTAAAGGTTATGTATCCCTATTGAACTGTTGCACGGTCGAAGTTGTTATTGTGGCTGGTCAACATACTGAAATAATAAATAATACTAACTCACTTACGAAATGAATCGAACGGCGGTTGGATATTCTTCAATCTAATGCGGCATTCAGAAGAAAATCCACATTTATAGACAAGTATGGGGATATTGCACAACTGGACCCAACTTATCTTCATTATCCTTCAAATGTTGAAATGTTTCTACTATTTTTGGCATTTAAGCACATCGTTACTCACCAGACCAACTTTCTCAAATAATATGATCACTGAGTACCACTAAGGGATGATAAATAATTATTGCTCATTTGTGTCGGACTGATGGGACAAAAGGGATAAGTACCAACACGATTTCTTGGTGTGTCCGAAGCCGTTCAGCATGTGCCATCTGTAAACTATTCGCTCTGGTTAGCTCTCAGTGTGAGATATATGCGTGCGTGCGACAATCCGATGCTAATTTAAATGCAAAGTGACAGACCAACATCCAACAGTGCGTAAATGATATAATCGTCATTGTGCATATGTCACTTTACTCAATGGCCCATTCGAACGCCTGTCACACAGTTTCCTGTATATAATCCGTCGTGTATGCTGTGTTTCTTGTCATTTGGTTGTTGGCCTACACGGGTGGAGGAAATGCTTCTTACCAAGCATTGTGAGTACGGATGAGGGTGAAAATACAATCACAGACATATTCTCGTCAGTTCGGTATCGGGATATCGCCACGATCTGTCAGTCAACATCTCGTGAACTGACCAGCGAGTCCCGCCAAGCGCACGAAAACGTAGAGTAGTGTGGTATCAAAGGATTACTGATGGATGCGCGAGCGTAAGCAAGGTTAGTCATCTCAAAATCCCCTGTTTCAGAATGTGAAGAGTGATGTTGGATATTGTGCGGCCGGCGTTGATTGCGAAATTCGTCATAATCTATTCCAACTGTTTACTAAACCGATGATCGAATAAGAGCAGGAAATCGGCAAAGTCAATTCAGTTTCACCTCGGGCAAAACCCAGTCTCAACACTAAAAGACCGAATGTAACGAAGGACCTGAAGCTTTCTGGAAGGAATAAATGTACTGGTTACAGTACGCGCGAGGGGGGAAAACCCGGAATAAAAGAAACGTGAAATTGGAAAGTCTTAGCAGGTCGCAGATGTGATGCCATATATTATAAACGCCCCTACATGTGTCACACAACGAGACACACTAACGCGTAACCAAAATTCCCTATAGTGAACTTACCAACCTAGTCATACCCACATTAAAGCGTATGTCACAAAGAGCAAGCGAAATACTAAATAATTAGTTAACTGTAAGACGCATTAATATGTATAACGTGCGGGAAGTTGGCATGCATGTCGGCCTATCTATTGAGCGTCTATTGCTAGAGCATGCAAAACTGTTATCAAAATTCAACTTCATGTGGTGTCTGTCTGGGTTTGTATGTCCTTCAGGACTTGTATTAGATCTAGTGAAAGACTTCGTGATTGCGTTGCTTTCACCTACCACAGCTAATAGTGATATACCCATGGTTTTCATCACATGCTGGCTAGTGCCAAATAACGTTAAGTTAAAACGTGGTGTCATCATGCAAGCCAGTATTATCCTTTTTCACTGTTTCTACCCCGTTGACTGACGACTTCCCGGCCTAATAAAGATGCACCTGATAGCATTCTAGAACCAGTGTTTGCGTTTCACTTAGGTCATTTTACCTTCTCCCTCTACGTCGTATCGGACATCCGACAACTACAGTTCTCACTGCATACTCTTACAATCTAATGGGTGTCATCTCTGAACACGCATACAAGGCAGCATCTTGCTAACGAAATTTCATCTACCCAGTTGCATTTCTGGCGGTCGATATATGCGCCTTGTATGGGACGTTAGTGAGCCGACACCTGAAGGTCAATGTCTATTGTGACAATCTTCGAACCGAGTCCATAACGATGGTGTTTCGTCTTAGTTAACAGAGGCTGCCTGAAGAAAATATCTTTGTATTTTTGAGACACACGCTGCTGGAAATCGAGTTCGGAATTTATAAGGAGCTAATCCCACTGACATCTCTCACTCCGCACCATATGACTAGGAAGTGCTATTCTGCTCGTTACACGCAATATGTATGCTTGAGTAGACCCCTTATATACCGAACGGTGCCTACGATACCTTTTGGAGTCGACCCTCATCGCACTGATATTAGCGACTTAATTCTATAGCTGCATGCTAAGCATACTCCGTATAGCTAACACTGTATAATTTGGCACTCGGCAAACGAGGTGGTCGCCAGGATCGCAAATGATTACCTGTGCCATCAGTCACCGGTGGTACCGCTTTTGCAAGAGTGTTGGTCAACCTATTCCACACATTCGAGTTCTGATCACGTTTCAGTGGGCACTTGAATAGCTGTTAAAATTCAGGGTCGTTGAACTGCAGGTCTACTTTCTCATTAGTTAAAATTATCGGCCTATAAACAACTATTATTCCGAGTATAATGATCAAGTGTCGTCGACGAATTAAGTGAACTAGACGAATGCCGTCTTGTATCACATCCAATGTATCACAAAGCATTCTTTGGAAATTGCTAGTCTACACAGTCTACAAGGCATACATGAGTCTCTAAAGCGTCTATTGATCTGGTTGGGTTCGTAGGGTGCTTCAGCTAGGCGAACAGTTGTACGACATCCGTAGAGCGTCGAAACCAGCGTACACGGATTATGTTACTCGCTAGGGCTCAGGCTCAACAACTATGCATTTGCCACTGAACAGGCTACACGCTTTGATATTTGATTCACAACTTCAACAAATAAACTTCTTTCACAAGAATAAACAGACACACAAGTTGTCTGCATCACCTCCGCACAATCACTCGAACCAATTAATCGGCTTTCCTATCTAGGTCGCTACCACATATTCGTCGGTTACATCCTCACAACGTTACTGAGCACATCGCTAAGGCCCGCGTGGTGTGTCTCATTCCTTTGTGAGAGAAACTGGAATAGCAGGTTATCGGCCACAGGTACGGAGTCCAAAATTTCAGTCGTCTCACTTTGTCGGGTGTCTAGACTTTTTGAACAGTGTGGCCCTATGACCTCAGTTTGGAGCGTACAAATGAGCACTAAGTGTCAATAGGACAGTATATGTGCTTCCTACTTGGAGCAACACGGCTTACCTGCACTTATCCGCTTGCCGTCCGAGTAAATATCACTAACACCGCATATTACTCTCCTTAGCACTTCGCCTTCTTATACTACCGTAGCCCACTACAAGTAAGAGTGAAGAGGGATAGTTAAAAATGACTCCGCACAGATCTTAGGTCCTTAATCCTAAGGATCGCGTTTTATGGACACGAAGGACAGACGTTTCTCGTTACCTCGTTCATACTCCTATTGCGCGACAGGTGATACAGCTTCAGCAAATCAGCTC